AATCCCTCTACGGTAAATCTTACATCCCTGTTATGATAAACCTGAAAATCTGCCTTATTGAACATGTGCATTGTTAAGATCACTTCCATAACGTGGTGACACAGTATTCCTTTGTTGCTGCAAGATACATCTGGGATGTTTTATTTTAGCTATTGAAAGCATAACGTACAACGAAGGCAAAGAACAGAACACTGGTTTTTCCTTCCTCCTAGGCTTTATGTGCACTCTGCTGTTTCTAACTGGAAGAAATGCCTTCACTCAATCAAGCTGAAGGACTCTGTGCTCAGCATCGTGTAAGTGCCCCTGTCAATGTGGCTTATGAGTGAACATTATAGCAACTGGAGCTGCATTTTCAGAGCGTTGAATAAAACCTTAGACAAACTACTGCTAAGGTTTCCCAGCATTTAATATTCTGTTAGCGTACATATATTTAAGGCCAAAAACCTTGCTTTCAGTACACATAGTGGGGCAAAACTTCAGCAGATTAATTTCTGTGACTGTACAGGCATGAGGAGCCTTGTAGCGTTCTTGATGCGACCCTTCGTGGTCTGAACAGTCTGTGTGCCCTTTCAGATGTCCAAGACTCCTCAGTCTTTGGAAATTACCCCCGCAGTTTATTTGTAAAACTGAGAGAAACAAGAGTTTAATATTTCCAAGACCTCTGTCATTCACATTCTGGTCACTTGTGGTTCTGAATATCTCTTGATGCCCTCACTGTGTCTCGTGAAATTGGAGAAACCCTGGATAGTCTTTAATGCAGCTGTGTCTCTTCAGGCACGTGAAAGGGCGGGTGCTGGTGGCTCTGGCAGATGGGACGTTAGCCATCTTCCACAGGTCTGAAGGTAAGGTGCCCAGCGTGATTTGCGATTGCACTCATAAATCCAAAATGACTGAGACAGTGCAACTTCCTATAACCTCAAAGTGCTTAAAGGGCTTTTGATCTGAAAAGGTGAAGATCTTTGGTGATGGCCTATTTGCACAGCTGAACTGGGAATGGTAGCTGTGTGTGAAATCACCGTCCACCCCGCGCGCAGTTCAGCCGAAATGTCTTGCACCGGCCAGTGAAACGGTGACCTGCCCTTAGCCCTCCTGTGTGTGTGTGTGTCCCCCGCAGACGGCCAGTGGGATCTCAGTAACTACCACCTGATGGACCTGGGCCGGCCACATCACTCCATCCGCTGCATGGCCATGGTGCACGATAAAGTGTGGTGTGGCTACAAGAACAAGGTGCACGTCATCCAGCCCAAGACCATGCAGATCGAGGTGAGTGGCCTGCCTGGCTCACACTGATGGTCTTTCTCTTAAGCTGTATGTTATTTAACCCGTTGTTGCCGCTGCTGTTCTGTGTTTATGTTGTTGGTGTTTCCTTAATGTCTTTGTATTGGAGCACACATGCAAATAAGCATTTCATTGCACCTGTGCACATGACAGTAAACTGAACTGGGGCGGCGTGCTCTGTCCTGCAGCGGCGGATTCAGAGAAGGGATATACAAGGACAACATAGAAGGAATAACTGTTTATATAGATGGGCAGGAGCTTGTAAACCTCACGTTCTTTCGGGTCTCTTCACTAATAATCAGTCAGAAGAATTATTCGTTTCCTTGTAACTTTTAATCCTCAACCTCATTTTTTTTTCTGTTTAAATATGTATGTTGTCTGGTGGAGTTTGCCTGCGCGCTCATTATTTTTAAGGTTGCGAAATCTAATTCAGATAACACAGCAATGAGCTTAAGATTGCCAAAAGAAACACAAAAGAAATCTTCCACAAAATCCAAATAAATCACTTTGAGATTATTGGTTTTAAAGCACTATATAAAATAGTGCTTACTGGTATAATTAGTAAAATGTACATAGCCCCTTCCATCAGCAGGGATCAAAAACACTTTACATAGAGAAGGAGGACAGACGTCACCCACTTTTGAAGTGCAGCTGTTCTGCTCCAGCAGCTCCCCACCACACAGCAGGTCAGGAGATCAGGGCAGCTGCATCACCAGTTGAACTGAGGGGGAACGTTAAGCCAGGCTGTGCAAAACGTGGGATTTAGCCAGGACACCAGTGATAACACACCTGCAGGGTGAACTATCTACATTCAGCAAATAAATGGCAGACATGACTGGGAAGTTGTTGTTCTTAAAAGGCAAAATGTAGTTTAAAATCTGGGGTCAGAAAAGGTTTGACCCCCTGTTCCGGCAACTAGTACTGAAAGCAACACGTAGACTAAAAATAAGGTCAAGACAGGGAATCTTGTCCTGTCATTCAGTTTAATACTTTCACTGTGTTTTAAACTTTGCAGCTGTATTGAATGGAACTCACCAACTCAAGTTGGAGAGGAATGACAAGACGTCAGTCTCGCAGAGCTGTACCCGAACACCATCATTATGAAACAAGCTATACATACTAAACACAAACTCCTCCCTTCACATTCCTTTTCTTTCTGTGCCCCAATCAACCACCTTGCAGATACCCTTGGGTCTCTCAGTCTGAAAGGGGTTTGAGCCTCCTTATCCTACGGCTAGGACGCTACCCATTAACCAAGCGGGGAAAGACAAACTTATCTCACCAGGTATTCCTCACATTACCAAAGCAATTTCAGCCCTTGGATGTTGTCCCTGGGGAAATATCCTTAAATTGGAGAACATAGGGAATCCCTGCAAAGTGCTCGCCTCCCCTCTTTGTGATTGCAAGGAGGCGGCTGTCCTCCTGTTGGGCATCATTTCAAGATTGGACGTTTGGAACGGAGTGCCAGCTGCTCAAATGACTGGCTAAGGCCGCCGAGGGGCGGGTGCTGCCAGGGCCCACATGACCTCTGTGTTCCAGAAATCCTTCGACGCCCACCCGCGGAAGGAGAGCCAGGTGCGGCAGCTGGCGTGGATCGGAGACGGCGTGTGGGTGTCCATCCGGCTGGACTCCACCCTGCGGCTCTTCCACGCGCTCACCCACCAGCACCTGCAGGACGTGGACATCGAGCCCTACGTCAGCAAGATGCTGGGTGAGCCCGCGCCACCTCCGGGATCGACCCGGCACAGTGTCAGACGTGCACCAGCAGCTGCTGTTAAGTTACTTCGAAGGGTTTGCTTATAGGCGCTTCAATAGCAGACCTAAGTCATGTTGTGTAGGGTGTGCTCTCAGTAACACCCCTGGGGATGCATCTTTCCTCCACTCGGCTCTGAACCTGCGTTAAAATTATTGGAACCTCCAATGAATTCCTCTCCATATCTACCCGACGTGTGACCCGTGGAAGCAGCAGCTAACTATCCCCCTGTTTTATTTGGCAGGTACCGGCAAGCTGGGCTTTTCCTTCGTGCGCATCACAGCCCTCCTCATCGCGGGGAATCGCCTCTGGGTGGGGACAGGGAACGGCGTGGTCATTTCTATCCCGCTGACGGAAAGTGAGTGTCTCCTCAGGCCCTGCTCTTCAAGTAGGGTTTGCTAGGACCCTCTGTGGGACACTGTGCCCTGCTGGAACAGAAACCTGTGATGTGAATAGATGCATTGGTTCCTTTATACATTACAGAACACATGCCCAGGCTTTTCAAACAGGAATCCCACCACCGTATCATTATAGATCTTATTCCAGCACTTCTGATCTTTGGTAGAATTAAGAAGCTCTTAATTCACCCGTACTGGAAGATTCTCCTTGGTTTCTGTCCTGTTGCTGATGTCTGATGGGCAATCTTTCTTCTTCTTAACAAGTGGCAGCCTATGTGCGTTTCCTATCTGCACGTGAATGTGTGAAGAGTCAGAGGCTGTTTGGAGGGTCAGATGGATTTCACAGCTCTAAGGTGTGATCAGAGGCAGCTTGAAGTCATGCAAGTTGCCTTGATCATGCACCTTAAATTTAAATACGTGTTTGGTTAAGCTCAGCATCCACGATTGGGATCAGGAAGTTGAGAATGGCTGTAGTTCAATGCTGCAGAAAATAAAAAACAACACAGAAACTGATTGGTCTGTAGAGATGAAATACAGTTCACTTCCTTTCAGCCTTCAGCCAGGGTGTAGGGGTTAGCTGAGCACCTGGCTAATGAACGTGCCCTTGTAACAGATCTTTCTCTGTCCTTGCCTTGATTTCTCTCCATCCCCTCTCTGGTCCTTCCTGCTGTGTGCCATCCTGCCCTCGCCTCTCCCTCTTTCACACCCATCCTGGCCTGCCCCACTTCCTTAATCCTCATTTCCACCGCGTCTCTCCCTTTTCTGTACTGGTCTCTGACGCCTTGTCTGCATCTCCGTGTCCCTCTCTCTCTGCTCTTCCTCTGTGTTGTCTCTCCTTCTCTCCCTCACTGTCCCTCTCCTTCCTTCCCATAGCTGTAGTCCTACACCGGGGACAGCTCTTGGGTCTGAGGGGTAAGTGTGAGCTCGCCCTCCTTCCTTCTCTTACAGGCCACCTCCACTAACTCCCCTGCTCCCCTGCCTACAGAGCCACCATCCTATCCCGACTCCTCTCTGTGGACAGATTTTTCCAGTCTTATGTTTAAAAAGTACACATTTGGCACTTACCCTGTTAGCCGCGCACATGAAGCACATTAACCGGTGGTTTTATGTTTAATAAACGCTTTGGTTGTACCTCATAACATCTTGTTAAACAGGCAGGTAGACGGTAAGCTGTTCAGAAATAGGTTGGGTCATGGTGTCGCAGAACAGGGGCCCTCCACCCTGGTCCTTGTGGGTCATTGTGTTTTCTGGTCTTCATTCCAACTGAATGAACTACTTGGTTTTGTTCCCATGATAGGTGGTTTTAGTTAGCGTGAATTATAAGAATAATTATTTCCCCTGCTTTGGCTTTGCTGCAGAGAAATTCCACCGCCAGAGCGCTATTAATAGTGTCTTTTCAACGTGTGTAACGAACTGTTGCTCTCCTCTTCCTGTCTAAACATCTTGGTAGGTTTCTAATTAATGTTGCAGCAGCCATAGGAGGAAATTATACTGTGTCAAACAGTCCCATAGTGCACTTATTTCTGCACAGACTAAAATGCAAAAATTCCAGCCGTCTGGCCACTGACATAGTACACACAAACGAGGAATGCTCTGATGCCAGGAAGATGACACACAGCTGAAAATTTCCAAAAACTGGATTAAATGTTATTTGGATCAAGAGCATCAGGTTGCTCTATCTCAGATGGAACCAGTGATTCCCTAAGGGTCCGGATAGAGTGTCCCTGTCCCACTCAAACACGCTAATGGAGGGATAGCACTCTTCACGATTTCTGCCGGCTTCCTATACATTTGACTTGCATCTGTAGTCACCGGTAGTCATCTAGGTTTTGATATCTTGGTGGGGTTTTGTGTTCACTTTCTGTCAGTCCATATGCATGCTATACAGTTGGCCTAAGCAAAGAGTCAGGATTTTTACTTCCCTTGGTGCCCTTAAATGAGAAATAATGCAAAAGCAGTTCTATAAAGGGAAACTAAATACTAATACGTTCAAGCACCACATCACTATAGATCCACTAGTTACTTTAACGCATTTATACCCCATATCTCCTAATTAACTAAACCCTTACCTACTTTTAAGGCAGAATCTCAGCCTTCATATGTATAGAGCAGCTATCCGTAATCCCTGTTTGGATGTTGGTGCCAGGTGAAGTAGAGAACGGGCTCCTTTTGCTCAGTCAGGGGTTGTGTATTTTGTGTGTCCCTCTACAACCCGCGTATAGTATTGGGATCGTAGGCGTCTGTGTGTCCCAGGGAGGGCTGTCACCTTTTTTACACTTCGAAGGCTTTCAGGTTTGTCAGCCAGAGTTATGCATTGACCTGCCACCCGCTCTCAGCGCTCGGCACTCTTGCAAGGATTATTGAGACAATACTGTCGCTCCTCCAGCCAACAAAGTGTCCCCGACCTCCTCTGGTGGGGTGATCCACGTGTATGCCGACGACAGCTCGGAGAAGACCAACGGCAGCTTCATCCCTTACTGTTCCATGGCTCAGGCGCAGCTCTGCTTCCACGGGCACAGGGACGCCGTCAAGTTCTTTGTGTCGGTGCCAGGTGAGTGCCACCTCTCTCCAGCCCGTGCCAGGCCTCGCCTGGCCACGGTATGTTCCTGCTGTCGAACACCAGGGGCTCGTAAAGGAAAAGAACGGTGTGGTGAAAACAGCGGGCTGCGGACAAGACACAGCTGCAAATGAGAAAAGGCTGTTGGGCCCAACTCCGTTCGCCATGTAGTTTCGTATCTTTGTGAATCTACATTTCATGTCCAACCGCTCCTTCTAGACTCCCACTCCCAGACACCTTTGGTTTGCTATTCTCATCTATTACCCATCTTCTGATGGGCTTGTCACAGTCAGCGGGGTGCTGCTCTGTAGGGTAAAACCCAAGGTAAAAGCAAGTCTTCTGCTGCCTCCCTCGTGCCTTTGTGAAATGTTGTGTGGCAGATCTTGAAGGAAGTGCAGGGAGGGGTATGGGGGAAGGTACCTGACCATGTGGGCAGTGTTGCCATGAGTGGTTGAAAGATGTATGACCACAGCCTCCTCCCAATCCCTACCCTCACCCCCCTGCTGCCCGTCTCTCCACCCCAGGCAACGTGCTGGCCACCTTGAACGGCAGCGTGCTGGACAGCCCCTCGGAGAACCCCAGCTCAACAGAGCCCCCAGAAGCTGAGGCGCAGCGCCTGCACAACGTCCTGGTCCTGAGTGGTGGGGAGGGCTACATCGACTTCCGCATTGGTGAGAACCTGGGCGCTGTTCCGTGTGCAGGAAATCATTCCTTTAGGCAGGAGCTCCTTCAGACTCTTTAAAGCACTGGTTCCTGCTCCTTCAGACTCTTTAAAGCACTGGTTCCTAACCCTGGGGGTGTGAAACATGCCAGATTTTATTTTAGAAGGTACTATAAATGATCGAAAACACACATGACCTCAAAGGGAGTTTTGCTAAGAGGTGCAAGAACATTTTTTGAGAACCAAAGGGTTTGCAGGCTGCACTGAAGGTTAAGAACCACTTTAAAGACATCTCTGAACCTGGGGCTACAGTAGGCTTCATCCCATTCAGGAAAACCACAGCTTCCCTGAAACACCTGAAACGTTTTGTGCCGGTGCTGTGCCAAAATCTCTACACTAGTTCAAACTAGTGACTCATTCTCCAGAATCACGACTGGAATGTGTGATTCCCAGAAGCAGCATTATGACAATACCTCGTAGAGCATATGTGCAGGACAGCAAACCACTCCCCTCGACAATGCAGAGCAATTCAAAACTAAAGCATTCTTTCCAAGGCATTTTCACATGGGGAGACTGATTTAACTGTAGCCAAGATGCCAGAGGCTTGTATCCTCTCAGACGATATTTCACACTTTTAAATGGTACAGTACCTTTAGACGTTTAGTATAATGTAACAAAACAGATAATCCAGATAACTGAGAACATACTTGCTGTGTACCCTGACCCTCTGCTCTGTCCTGGTTAAGGACAGGGAGAACTGATGTAGATCTGTGGGTGGAGACCCAAGATTCAGCATCCTGTGTCCTTAATTAAGGAATTCCTGATGTGGGATACCTAAGTGTTCAAAACAACTTGGAAACAACTATTTCCAATATTGCACTTGATGAATATGTGGAGAATCTTGGAAACCAATATTTGCATCTGCAAGGATGGACAAAAGGTGTCTTATAATATCGTCACAGTCTGGCACAGCAGTTCCATCTGTCCTTCTGTGCCGCAGGCGACGGGGAGGACGACGAGACAGAAGAGACCTCCGAGGGCGCTCCTCAGATCAAACCCACGCTCTCCAAGGCTGAGAGGAGCCACATCATCGTGTGGCAGGTGTCCTACGTGCCAGAGTGAGACCACTGTCGCCCCGCGCTCGACACCCCCCTGCCCTCTCTCTGACGGCACGCCGCCCCAACCCCTCTGACCAAACTGCCCCGCATCCTGACAGCCTGAAACAGGCAAAAAACAAACTGCTACGACTGAATATAACCCCCCCCCCACCTCTCGCACCTCAGACCAACCTGCTGTCACTGAATGAACCCCTAACCTCCCTCCTTCAGCTCACACCTTACTGCAGGACAGATGGCTTAGGATTCCCCGACGACCCCCATACCAGACCTGAATCTGTCAAAGGGGACCAAAGACACAAAAGAAACAGATGTCATGGTGGAGACCTGCGTGGCTCACGAGAAGGATGAAGGTTGGTTTCTAGCGTAGCGCTTGAGTTGTGTGTGTGGGACAGCGGCTGTGTGACACCATCCAGCCAGTGAGAGGGAAGCCTAGGGCTCCCTTTGAACAAAAAAAAAGAGGAGAATCTGTACTTAGAGGAACTTGAAAGTGTGGAATAAGGGCTGAGGGCAAGTTGGTGATGGGATCTTTTGTGTCTTATTTAGCTGTCAGTGTTAGATTTCTGGGGCATGGTATGACTGGCTTTCACAATAACCCCGTTTGGAACAGTGTATCCATGGTGGGATCCCAAAGTGGTTGTGTGCTGCTTCCTAAATTCCATTCTCATTGAATGTAGTGCCCTGTACCTTGCTGGATCCCCTTATTTTATTAGTCTGTCAAGTATGAAAGGGTGTTGTAGTACATTAGGACTGGCGAGTGCATGCTTTAATGGGCACATAGATACAGGCGTAGAGATGGAGGTCATTTTGTAGACAAGGGACACTAACTAGGGCAAGTTGCCCTGACTTTGGTCAAGGCAACTGAAAAAGCAGGAAGTGATGTAAAGTACGGTTTTAAACTGAATTGTGGGACCAAAGCTTCCTGCTTTTATGGGATTTTATTTTTCCAACTAAGCTGTATTATGATCTTTCCAGCCGCCATACTCTGGTAACTTAATTTGCTTATGTGCAGCATTTACCAGAGACTGTAAATAATCAACTGCATGTGTATATAGTGCTCTCCTTCCCAAAAGGCTCCAGCGAGCATTACCCATAAGAGAGAGCCCATCTAATCCTCCAATGAGGTGCAGCACCCACCTGCGTGACACACAGCAGTCATTCTGCCCCAGCAGCTCCACTTCACAGCAGGCAAGCTAGGGAAGTGAGATGTTGCTTACTCTTCTGAATGAAGGGGAACTTTAGGGAGGACTGCTTGTGCAAAGAGGGGAGATTTTAGCCAGAACACTGGAACTCATGATTCTACTCCTACAAGCAGTGCCCTGGGATCTTTAATGACGAATTATTTTAGACCTGATTTAACATCTCACATGACCGTCTGCGCCTTCTTCTGCACAATGTCCCCATTCATGCATTGTTTTTTTTGGAAATTCTGGTCGGGAGGGAAAAGCACCACAAACTGGTTCCACCAACACCACTACTGGTCCCAATCTGGTTGTCCTTGGAGGTTGCCCATCCCACACTAACAAGGGGGGTAACCCTGTTTCAACCAAGAGGAAGCAGCCAGAAAGACTCACAGAAAATAACAAATGTCAATCAATGTGTGAAAGGGTTTAGTGGAGTTTCCCACTTCTCCTAGCCAATAAACATGAAAGCGCTGACTGGTTAACCCAAGTAATCGCTAAGGCCTTGATAACTACGTAGAACACAATCGCATTGCAGACCCTGTCAGCTAATTCTGTCAATAGACCAGACACTTCCATCTTGAAGTGACTGTAAAATCCCCAGTCTGGTTTGTCCCTTAACCAATAACCCCCCACTGTGACCTGCAGTAAGGTGTGATCAGATTGGCTCATGTGTCTCCCTCCATGATTCCACTGTGTGATGTATGTAAACTACCTTGTATGTTGTAAAGGGGCCAGGAAGTAATGCCTGTGATCAGCCTTGCTCTCAAGGAGGTTTCCTGTAAAGCGACTGCTGTAAGAATATCTCCCTGCTTCTTCCTCTGTGCTATGTAATAAACTCATCAAACATGGAAATCTTATCTGTATGTAATAAACATATTAGTGAAACACACGCTTGTATTTGTGTCTGCAGAATTACAGGTTGGTATGAAAGGAATTCCCTTTAGTTCCATCCAATGGATAATTTACTTCAGATCGCCTTTGCACTTTTTAAATAAAGTATACAAGTTTCTATAACACATCCGCACAGGCAAAGAATGTTTGTACATCTTCTTACTTTAGGAATTAAGGCCTGTTTCAACTGCAATACCATGCACAGAGCCCTAAAAAAAAATAATCAACCTACTGTACTAGATGTGATGCTTTCCCATCTTGCCCAACTCAGTTTAAACCGCTCATATTCAGATACAAGTTGTAGAAAAAACACACCAGACAATGGTTCATTTTCAGATTTGTTTTCATTGGTAAACCTTGGGTCACAAGAAACAGACTTTTCACTGTGCAGTGTACAGAACAAAGGCTAAAACCTGAACCGTGATCATCACCAGATTAGCTTTAAGGCCAATAAATCTGCTCACTATAGAACTGTAGACTCTAAATGCAGCAGTAAATTACATTCATTTCTCAGCAGGGGAAATTAACTGGTATGCCATCGTAAGGTAGTAAGGACCAGCACCACTACTGGGCCATACTGAAAGGTAGGCACTGTTTAAGCTTTCATTTTAAAGCTCAGTCCCAAGCTTAAGTTCTATTAAAGTGTAGTTAAGTGCATTCTGTCCTGTACCTGTTTATCATTTGCCAATTATGTGGCAACAGAGTACTAAAGTCTTTAAAAGAAAACACCTACACAAGAATGATCTATGAACAAGTGTGCTTACGAGTCTTCCTGTATATAAAAGCACAATGCTGTAGTGCGACAATGAGACGTGCTCTGCCCACAGTGAGCAAGAAACAGACACTAGACAGTCTCTGGATCTCGAAGAAATAACATAATGCCATTAATGATACAAAAACATCACTGTAGAGTTGCAATGGGATCCCATCTGTTGTCAAAAGCGGAACATTTTCTCTTGCGTCCATTATGCGAACACTGATCAGATAAAACACACATTCATGACGTCTGTCATATTCGTGAAAACAAACACAGACAATATGTTTTGCTTCTCTTTATATCCAAAAGATTGGTTACAACTTGTTTTAAGTCTTGTAACACATATCCTGGCCGTTACACACTCAAGATCCATATAAGACAAATGTGACTGTACGGAATATTTTACTTTATAGACGGGACCTTTTTAATAGTAAATTAAAATACACTACCAGGTCTGTATTCTAGGGAAACTTTTTTTCTAGATTTGTCATGGCAACCAGTGATTCAAAACATGCTTTACTCAGCTCCTACAATAACTTCAGCTGTGGACGGAAATTACATTTTATTAAATGCAGATCTTTAAAAAAAATGTCAAACCAATCCATTTAGAACAAGCTGTGAATTTGGCCTTTGTACCTTGTCATTTTCAATCTAAAGGTGCATTAGACAGCAGGTTTTAAGATGGAATGTCAGTCAAAGGTGAGCATACCAAACAGGGTGATGAATAATCATATATATGATCATTATTAACTAAAAGGTCCTCCATGATTGGCAACTGAAAGTGACCTTTCCTTTTTCCTGTTGGCGAACGCCAGGTAGCAAGAGATCTGCACAGCTCTGCAGAGTCATGACATTCTTGAGAGACTTGAGAATCTTCTAGGTTGAACCCGTTTGGTCCACTGAAGACTACAAGTCTGTAAGTGTAACATTATCACATAATTCAAGTAAAAAAAGGAAACCATTATTCTGTATTTTCTAAGGAGGTAAAGACAATGAATAACAAATGGTTTAGGAAATATTCCAGCATTTCCTGAGGGATTTTTGTCTGTAAAATCTTTATCTACAGCAGCACTGTTTATCTGATACTGTCAATCAAACGAAGAAAGTTTTAGTGCAAAAGTTACAGAAATAGATTTCACGCTTTTCGTGGTGATGGGAGTTCATTCTCAGTTTGAGGGCTGGCTCTTTATGAACCCGAGTACTAAAAAGTCAAAAGCAAACGGAGGAGGAGAAAAACTGGGTGAACCTTAATAACCGTGTCAGTCCAAGACGAGACACTGGGGTCCCCGAATCTGAAATCGTAATGTGCGCAATTTGTTGCTGCCGTCGCCTTGTGCAAATAAACTCATGGAACTCCATTTGCGTTGCCTGAAGGCAAACACTTCTAGAGAAGATATCTGAAAGCTGCCTGCGAGACCTGGGACTGCTGGACTGGGGGTGGGGGTGGGGAGGATCAGTGAGTGTGGGGGCGGGCGTAGGCGTGTGGGCTCTGCGCCGGCGTCACTCATAGATCCAGCGCTCGGTGCAGTCCTCCCAGCACAGCACCTCCTGCTGGCGGAACCACAAGGAGATCTCCCGCTGCGCGCTCTCCACCGAGTCACTGCCATGGACCACGTTCCTGTGGAGATACGGCAAGACAGGGCAGCCTTGCTGCATTTCTTTCACAGTCACGCGGGATCACAGGTTATTATTCCACTGATAAATCCTAGGCAGCAGTAAAGAAGGGCTTAAATTACTGGCCCTTCCAGTCTGTTTCATCACAGAATTGTAATGCAAACAGCTCCTTTCAATTACAATATGGCGATGTAGAATTAGCAGGGGGGTAGCTCTG